GAGCGGGGAGGAGCGGTCCCTCGGGGCCGAGTGCTCCTATCTCCCAGCATCCGCACCAGAGGACTAAATATTCGAGGTGGTTTGTTTTTTTTTTCAGACCATGTGTTAGATTATTTCTAACACATCAGAGTGGAAAAGGGAGCAAAAGGACAGTGGGAAGTTACAAAAATAGATAAGGTACCAAAAAATGGGTAAGTTTAGATGAGCCAGTGGTGACTTCTAGAAGAATAAGCGGGCACCGTATACTAATTTATCTCCCATTAAGAGAACATTGCTGTTGCAAAGCCAAAATCCTGAATAAGTGTCCTTTCTCCCATCTTACACTTTCTAACCCTACAATTTCCAGGCCCAAATGGAATCAACAAGGCAAAAGCCTAAAAATTGTAGGGTTGAGGACCGTTCCCCACTGCGGGATTTGTTCCTGTTCTGCCGTTTCATGCTACGTTTTGTAAAAGGGGGTGTACAAACTGGGGGTTGACATAAGAGAACCCTTCAAAATCTGTTTGGTCTATGTTAGCAATGACCAGCTGATCCGGAGGTGTTAACACCGGCTGTCCTCGTGTAAAGAATTTATCGAAGTTTTCGGCACCTTTGCCACACTGCAAGAAAAAAACAAACAGAAAAAAGGCTGAAAAAATCAGCAATACATTGGCAGTTCCAGCTTTTTGCAGATTTTTCAGGATACATGCAAGACTTTCCCTCATTTCTTATGAGTAGTTAAGGGAAAATTTTCCTTTCAGATATTTTAACAAAAAATCCCAGGCAAACAGAGAAGTTTTAATAGATGAATTCTGATGAAAAACAGAGTCAGAAAAGTTGCCATCCATCAGCATGAGGTGACAAGGTAGAGAGGCTTAAATATTCAGAATCGCTGGGATAAAAAAGGAGAAAGAAAATATTTTTATGGACATGTATTGGTAAGAGATACTTTATCTGTCAAGTCATTTCATTCTTAAAACTTTTACGATGCAAAATTAAATTTTCCTGTTAGCCTCTGTTTCCTTCACAATCTGCAGAAAGCTTAATGTAATTCATTTATATGCTTTGATTCTTCATCGTACAGCCTACAAACTCTTGTAAATTCATAAACGACAGCAGAGCTTCAGTCCCGGGGACTGGAGGAGGGAGCTGGGGCAGGGAGCGCATCCTGGGAACAGGCCCCCGTTACAAAATGTGCTATCACAGGTTTCCTCCTTTTTTTGCCTAAGAGAAAAGACACGTCGCCACGCGAAGCCCAGCCGAGAGGGGGGGTTATATATAGCTACACGCTGAACACAACTCATTCAGAACAGAGAACAAAAAAAATCAGGTTTGCGAAAAGGATAGTTTTGAGTAACGCAGAAAGCACTTGAAAGGCAGGGAAGTATGATTAGAAGCAAGTTAAATAGGATGAAGGTGGGACCAGAACAAAATTAGCTTGGGTGCAAGAAAAAAATGCGTATTTGAGGAAAACTAGGCATTGAATATTGTGGAGAGATCTAAAGGAAACTGGTAAATCTGCTAATCTCAAAACTGTCTACTGTAATAGATCTTCGAACAAAGCGTGGTTGTACGGTAAAGGCACTGGACATTTCTTCCCATTGTCCCTGACCCTTTCCTCTCTATCCATCCCTACAACATATCTACACGTGGATTTAAAGGATAACATTACACTGTTCTCTTCAGACTTAGAGGGTAACTTGGAGAGGGTAGAATATGGCTCGTACAATAGACCAATGTTAAACACTGGTTTTTCTGAACTAATGTGACATGAATAAAGCTGCACATTTATAGGAGAAACCAACTGAAGAGGGGCCCGTTAGGGGAATTTGAGGGTGAGGTGTTTGGCTATTTTGAAAACAGCTCAGTCAGAGTTTCCGATCTTCTTGCAAGTCACTGGCACGTCCTGGACTGGGACAGGCCATCCGATCTGAGCTGCAAAGAACTGTTGCTGCCTCGGGCACAAGTTGGTTTATATTTCAGACAAAGAACGCATGCTCAGGTACTGGACACTTGTTCAGTCTTGGAGGAACACAAGCAGAGGGACACTTCAACGGGTTAAAGGCTAACGGTAGTCTGCTTTTTTCACCCGGGGTTCTGCACTCACCGAATACCCTGGTGCCCACTGAAGCCAATGCATTTTGGTACAGAATCTCTGGAGAACAAGAATGGACAGAGCTGAACTTTGACAAGGGGAAAACTGCGTCATTGCAATGAAAGTTGATGTATCCCAAAATTAACAGTCAAATTTATTTAGAGGCAGTACAGTCAACTCAGGGCAGCAACAAAAGAGCTATTTATAGAGGGAAGACTTTTTGCTAAAAAGATGTTCTACAGATGTGCCTCATCGTTCCACAAAATTATGCTCTTTTTTCTTTTATTTTTCTTCTTTTCTTCTTCTTTTTTCTGCAAGTGGAAGGTATTCAAACAAACTGTATTTTGAAACCAAAGTCCCTGACTCCGTTAGGTCTCTCACTATTGCTTATACTAGTAGAGGCTAAGAAATAACTCACGTGAAATTTGGGTATTTTTTGGGTGTGAATATAATAATTTATCAATAAATTTCCATCTTCAATTACATATTTGTCTTCACATTAAAGAGTAGCATTGCTATTGTGAGCGTTAATGCAGTATTAAAGCAGAACTGAAAATACAGGACTCCTAGAACTCCTAAACTTACAAATACAAGTCAAATGTCCTTCTTGCCCAATAATCAGTCTATGCCTATAGCCTGTGAAATGTCAGCCTGGAAGGGAACACATTATTTAAACCAACCAACCGCTGACCCAAAATCTGCAGCTCCGTGTTCGAGTGAGAACCATGCCTGTGTGCAAAAGCAGCAGGATTATTCCTGCAGCAACACGCTCCCTAGAGAAGATGCACCTACAAAGGTTCTCTGAAAAAAACCCACCCCAAACAAAGCCGATAAATACATCCATATCTTCAAACAGATTAAGGGTCGTGTGTTTTTTGCTTTCTAGAATCAATATAAAAAGAATGAACAACCACAACAAACGAGTGTTACATAGGGTATGTAAATATCAGACTTGCATTTTAAATTATTTTTGTCTGGGAAAGTTAGGCTCCATGTGAATACGCCTTGGTGTATTTTAATAGCAGCCTGTATAAACAAAACAGGTCATGATAACCACGGGGATAGAGCACAGCTGCTCTAAACAGGAGCCAGGATCTGCCACGAAACGTGCTATGGTGGAGCCAGACCATACTTCAAGCTTTTAGTACCTTCATGCTGGTGGTACTTTTAACTTCAAGGAGAGTCTAAGCACTCAGTTCCTGAGCTAATAGAAATTACAGATGTGAAGGTAGCTTTGCTTTACAATCACCTTTAAATTTGACTCAAGAAACATGTAATGAAAATCTTCCACTAAATACGCTTTAAAGAGGTGCAGCTCCCCTTCGGATAGAGAGCTCTGGGGACCGGCCGGGCAGGGCTGGCAGCACCACGCATGTTCTTTACTTATTTACACCCTTCCCTGCGTGCAAAATCCACACCATATGAAAAGGGTATTTCCCCTAGCACAAAATACTCCTCTCGGCATGCAACTCTCCTCCTGGTGATGCGAAAAAGTCATTCGTAAGCAAAAAGAGAGGAATATATTCTGCCACTGGGTAGTGGCCTCCCTCTGTCCATTAGTTTGTGATACCACACTAGCGTGGCTGTATCAGTAAATAAATCAGCGTACAGACCAATGATCCTATACCTGCAGTGCTACAGCCAGTTATGCATCTCAGTTGAAACAAAAAAAGTGTTAGAGAAGAAAGATTCAATGTTAAGACATAAAAGTTTACAGCTGTTCCTGAAAGCTTGTATTCTTGTGTGCAAATACTTTTCTTTGTCAATAAAGCACAGCACAAGCTGAAGGAAATTCTGTATCAACAAATACAGCTCTTCAAATTGTGTTATGCAAACAGTACTCACAGTAAGGACATCTTTCACTTGTTTGGATTTCCAAAATACTCCTACAGATACATGTGTGTAAACTAGCAATAAACATTAAAAATAAACCAGGGGTTATTCTTGCAAACTCAGCAGATGTGGGTTCTGTCACTCCAGGATGGGGAATACAAACTCCTCGTGCTGTGTAGCCTACCGTGGAGGAAATTCACCCCAGTAATTCAGATACCTTTAATCACTGACTTTAGATGTTCAGAGACAGTCGGGAACCGCATTTATTACACATCTCAAGTGGCTGATGTGAATATGCCAATTTTCCCTATTTTCCATTTCTCACGCAGCGCGTGACCGTCCGGTCAGGACTCAAACCACCGAGAGACTTTTTCACAAGGAACAAAGTACACTGGGTTATGCTACCGAGTGCCAAAACATTAGCAGATTTACAGACCGGTCTGCCATAATCAAATTGCCTTATTTTAGAAGCGTCCCAGATTTGCAGCACCATCAAGCCAGCATTAATCTCACCCCAAGTTCTCACCGGGAAAGCATGACTGCAGACACATTTAGCGAGGGAAGTACTTGGCATCTCACTCACCACTTTAGGTTTGAAAGGTGGCTGAATCTCTCTGTTTTCCAGTTTTTCCCAGTCAATTCTCCTGAAGAAAGCATGTTCCCTGATGTCTCTTTCACCTTCAAGGCCACAGCCAAGGCGTTTTGCAGGATGTTTAGTCATTAGCTATTAGGAAGAAAACACCAAATGGTTGAATTTAACGCTGGAATGAAAGTGAGACCGACTTTCCCCAGATTGTGATGCTCTTGCTCCTCTCCTGAAGATGCAAGTTGCTAACAAAATTGTTTTGAAGAGCTAAAATTCATTTTTTGAGGATTAGTTTTTTCTTGTTTGATCACTGGAGACAGCACGTCAGCAGCAACATTAAGGGTTGCACTTGAGAACTTTTTCCCATTCGGCAGAGGTTGCTGCTGGAGGGGTGGGTGGGCAGGCGGTGCCCGGGGCACACGGCCATCCTATTAGCGCACAACTCACTCCTGAATTTCCCCTTTTCTCTTTCAGTTCAGTCTTATAAATCTCCAGAAGAGCTTCTGCCCTATCTAAACAATCAACTAAACTTAATAAATTCCAGTATACTAAAGCTGTATGAAGCACACACACACCCCCCCCCCTTTCATTTTTCTGGGCTTGTTCAAGACATCTCATTACAGAGCCTACAATTTCTTGGCACCCAGCTGACAATATCTAATCTGCGTTTCCTCCCTTGCATCCTTAATGACATCTTGGTCAATACTATACCCACCTGCATAGATTAAGCAGACCTGGGGGGAAAAAAAAAAAACCCAAACCCACCAGCATTGCATGCTTGGAAACAGTGATACGCTCCCTAATTAACAAGCTCCTCAAAATCTTTTCGACTGATATGTACATTAGGAATTGAGCAATGTAGCCTTCAACTCTCAGTTCCAGTATTGTGGGGACTTTTTAAAGCTCTTTTACAAATTATACATGATTAATATACTGCTGGGAGTGATACCCCATCACATCTTTTTAAAACCTCAGCTGTACTGCTTTAGTCTCCCTCCAAATGTTGAGTTGATCAGATTCCAATTTTGAACCTAAAATAAAAGCGACTCTAAGCAGACTTCGGGAAGTCGGCTGTGCACTGGGCTAGGAATCACATCCTTCTTCAAGCTTAACAGCAACTTTCCCATTTTTGTTACCTTTTCTAAACCCCTTGCTTTAACAGTAGGTGATATAAGAAAATGTGAATAATGATTCTAGCAGTTTTAATTCTGTTCCAAAGTTACTGCATATACCAAACCCAACAAACTCTGAATCAGTGGAACAGATGTCAAGCAGACAGTTCAATTTCAAGAGCACAGTAGGGCACGTTCACCTTGCCCGACGGTGCACAGTCCCAGGATTGCTGAGCTACTGCTGACTACAAGGTTCAGAAACCTTCTCATACTGACTTCTTAGCTCAGGTATAATGCTCACTGAAATTTGGAATTAATTTGTTAGTTTAATACAGATGATGAACGTGTTATTATCACAGAGACTTGACCTTAAACCTAGTGGTGCAATGCAATTTTAGCTTTCTGACCTCCTTTTGCATAAGCACCTAGCAGAACAGCAGCAAGCGGGAGAGCTGAAAACACAGTAATTAGATCCAGTTCAAATTGTGTTGTCTAAATGTATGATTTTCATGACAAGGCGTCAATCTGCATGTACTTTACAAAAATATATCATGTTTTGTTTTTGTTCGCCAGCACGTCTACACCGGGATAGACTCCAAAATTAGAGTGGTCTTTCCTTTTACCTTGTTGTTCTAAACAGCTTTTCTTTTCCCTGATGATTTTTCTTTAAGGGATTAATATCCAGCTCATGTACAATACTTCATAAATGGTTGCAAAGGAAAGGAAGAAAGTAAATATAAAATTAACTGACACTAAGTGCAGTGATATTTTATTAGTGTAAGTAAGGCATCAAAGTAACGCTTTATAGATGGTGGTTTGGAAAAGCCACAGATTAACAGTACTCTAGGGAATCACATGGAGTCAAGGGAAAGTCAAATGAATTCTTTTTTCCTGAGCTAATCCCCTGAAGTCAAATCTATTCTTTTCCTCAAAAAAAAAAATTAAATTAACTTAGAATCTAAGATAAATTTTAGGCCACACAGGTTACAACTGCGTCAGGGTTTCCCCACAGTTTCCTTGCATTTACGCTGAAGATTTTCACATAAGCTCATCTTTACCTACATTTAAAAATGATTCTTATTAACTCTTTTGCTCTGCTGCTGTCACTAGGCATACCGTGCTGAGGACTCGCTGGAGTATCTGGTATCCATCCAAGCTGAGATATCTCCTCACCCTGCAAAACTGGGGTTGCGCTGCCAAGGGCTGAAAGGCAAGGTGCGTGGAGACGTTTCACACCATCGTCCTGTTTATAAATTCTGCTTTGGATTTGGCAGCTCCCGATTCTCACATTTGTTCTTACCATAAAAGAAGCAGGCACAGCGGGAAGAGCTGAATACTTATCAGTGACACCAAGCGATGAGCACTTCGTGACAATATAGCTTAGCACAGCCTGACGGAAGTTGCACTTAAAAATACTACAGTGCCATATCAAAGCCAGACAAATTTAGTTATTCACAAAGATTGCCAAAAAGGAACTTAATGATAAAGAAGCATCTATCTCACCCCCTTGCAGATGGAGACAGCTTCTTTGGACAGTGATTTTGGATAGGAAACATTATGTTCCATTATGGACTGGAAAAGTTCATCTTCATCTTCTCCATCAAATGGAGGCTGTTGAAAATAAATCACACGTAAGTTACTTATTGGTTTGGTTTTTGTTTTTTTTTTTAATTTTTCACTTTTTATGAAATGGCATGACAATACTATGGCCACACTGGGTCAGGTCAAAGGTGCATCCAGCCCAGTAGCCTGCCTCCAGTCAATCACAGATGCCCAAAGAGATGAGTATACAGCAGTGGTCCTTGCCCAGGAATACAAACCAAACTTCTAGCCATCTGCAGCTTGGGATCTTCTGACCCAGCAGTTTAGTGTTCATCAGTCTCAGGTAGAAATTGAGGAGAAAAGTTCATACCAGCATGGCAGCCAGGTTAATGAAATGTGTGCAGGATTATCTTCGCGATCATCTTTAATCAGCTTTTAAAGCTACTGTGCACCAGGCAGCCAAAATACATTAAAGGGTGAAGTTTGGAGACTGTAACTTTCAATTATGTTGCGCTAAGGTATATCCATTCCTCACTTAATTCCAGTTAAACTCCAGTTTGTTTTGTAAGACATGGCTGTAGACTCTGCTTCTGTGAAGGGGAGACTATATTACAAGAAAGGGCTGCATTTTATTTTTAAATGTAGGTGATGAGGAAAGTGCCCGTGGGTGAGTCCCCAGGATACGGGCACTGTGGAAGGCTCAGCTAATGGTAAATCTCATTTTCTCAAAAGCATTCAGATGCCTAATATTTGCAGTGCAGACTGTAAATGTTAACAACTGCAATTGCTACACTTTAAAAACTTTTAAAATGTCGACTGGAATTTAGTAGAGAAACTATTAAAGGTGTTTGTTAAAAATGTGTTTTAAGCTTAGGAAATGCATACCTTTAGCTAACACTCACTGAAAGCCAATTGCACAAATCTTTTCCAACTCAAGACTAATAGAATTCCTTAAAGTTGGTAGTTATCTGCCATTTACTGCAGTACAGCGTTGCTTTTCTACTTGAGTGACTCAGAGAGCAGCATCTCATTAACTGTGCAGAATAAGGGGTCTGTAGCTGAGCATATTTCAAGTGGCGAGACCCATACTTTACCCCTAGGACATACAATACAAAAGCTGTATTCTTGTGACATAACTGCAACGCAGAGCATATACACGCTCTTATTATGTCTCCCCGTGGTTTCAAACTACTAAATGATATTTCTTCCATTTGACATGCATTTCCCTGCTCAAGGGTCTCCCATTCAATTTTGAAGATAGCTATTACAGTACAAAGAAGCCATATTCAAAGACAGTGCTTGATTATGTGGGTGCAATATAAAGAGCTTAAAGTCTAAATACATTCTCACTGGAATCAGTCGAGAGTACAAGGAGATAATATCAGTATGAAAGGCCCCAAGCTTGTCCCCGAAGGATCTAACCCATTAGGGAGCCTTGAAACAGAGCAGCTTGGAGAGGCAGGAGGAGGTCACAGCGAGCACAGGAGGGTAACTCTTACCTGGCCAGCTAACATCTCATAGAGCAGCACTCCGTACGCCCACCAATCCACAGACTTCCCATAGGGCTGGTAAGCAATAATCTGTATAATCACAAAAAAACCAAAGAAAAACCCTCTGTGTTAACTAACACCCAGACTTGTGACATATTAGATAAATAGCGACATGCAGAGGTGGAACATATTTCCTTGAAAAAGCCCAGAAAGACAACACTGAAATCCTCCCTCTGGCTAATCTTTGGTTTCACTGGGAGTTGGACTGTTTTGCAAATGCTAGTCTGAACCTGCCCGCGTCTTTTGGTACTCCGGTATCTTGGGAAATGCGGCTCTTAGGAGACCTTGGGATGCGCATTTGAAGGCAAAGAAGGAAGTACAACAGCACAATGTAGGAGACAAGGCAAAAATGTTATCCATCCATTTGTGTCAAAGCTTGAAATCATGAGTCTCACTTAACTTACAGATTATCAATAATTAAGCCTTTCTTTTCTTTTCAATATTTATATTTTTGTTCTGCTGTAAAAGGAATCAGAATTTAAGAAAAGAGCAAAACCCTGAAAAGCTCAGTTACATTTTCCCAAGTTGCACGATTAATATACTCTTAGTATGAAGCTAGATACCAGCTACGCAAAAAAGAAAGGGGTTTCTGCTGTTCAGCTTAATGGAAATGTCAAGTATTTTGCATCCTCTGGGTTCACATCTGACTCACATAGAGGCACAAATTGAGTTCTGACACAACGAAAGGCTGCAAGTGCCAACAGCATGCAGGTCCCCTCGTGCGTCATTTTCTTTAGTCGAGGCCTCTTCAGAGATCAGTGTTAATTCAAGAGATGCATTTGGGCATGCTATAGAGGAGTTTTCAAGTGCAGACGTTCTCTCAGATCTCCTTCTAAATAACTGTGAAGGGATATTGTGAATCGTGAAGGGATGCAGGACATCCCAGCCGCTGTCCATCCACATCGGGGAAGGCGGTATCAGAGCCTCCAGCCCCAATGCCACCGCTCCACTAGAAGAAGCAGAGAACCGTGGCAGTCATTGCTCCAGACGGGCTGGTATTTATTTTCCTGTTTGCATGCGTTTTTATTCTTTGTGAAACAAATTGCTAAGACGAGTACACATCACATATTCTAGATTTTTTAGTTGTCTGAAAGAGAAGTTGAACTGGCAAGTTTTGTGGTTTCTCAGCAAAATAGTGAGTCACCAGTTCAATAAAGCAGGACTGCCTGGCTACTAAATAAAATTAGAGTCTCCATGGGAATATACGTTTTTCGCTGGGATAACAGCAGCACATGAATTAAAAATTACTGCAATGTTTCTAAGCAAAGGATTTCAAAATCGATCACACTTTGAAACATATTACAGAACCAGAGGTAGGAATAAGATTCTCAGCTGGAAGGTCCTATATAAAGGCAATCTTTATTAGTCGTCTTTTAGCAGTAATATGGGCTTTAAAATATATATTTGGGACATTCATTTCATATTATAGTGGTTGACATACTTGGTTACTCTCCCTTTCATTTCTATCACCAGTAAGTTCCCAGTGGTCTGCTGGAATCAATGTTGCTTCTTGAAAGACCAAACACTTTCAAAATTTTATCCGAAAAAAATACTGGCCTTTACACACAGAAAACGATAAAATGTTTCATCCTCAACCCTTCTCCGACAATCTCTCCTTGCTTTATGGAAAAGAGTATTTTATTCAAAAAAAGGGGTATTTTTCAGAAGGTCATTAATTTATAAGGGCAGAACATTTTGTACAATAAGTACGCTTCATGTAAGCGGTTTTGGTAGGAACAGTTACTTCAATTAGCAAATGAGAAAAAGATGGATCCATAGCAGTTAGGAAGAAAACGCTGCTCCACCACCATGGTTCTCAACCTGGCAGCCAGGTCTGTCCAGGAGGCCACAGGACAGCTTCTCCTCCTATTCTAAGAGAGTTTGATGGGACTACTGAGGAGAGGAAATCTTTTAAATACGTAATGCAATGTCATAAAATGAAAGATGTAACAAAGCACGGACTCAATGATGCTGTTTGTTTATCCAGCAAGAGGTGAGTCACGAATGGGTTGTTCTCTAAATAGCATTCTCATCAGCAAGCATAATCTGCCCCAATTAAATGTGCCTTTATGAGAGAATATCACAGAATCATCAAGAGAGACAGAATTAGCATGAAAAAAGCTCCCACATTTAACCTAACATATGGTCAGAGTCACTAAAATTTTTGTCCTATGTCATCGGCTAAAATATTTATTTGATGCCACACGTCAACATCAGCAGAAGCATCTGATGAACAGATCGGTGCCCCCTCTGAGCTGGCACACACCTCCCTTGCTCGAACCGGCCGCATGATGAAAGAGTGGGATTTAAGAAATAAATACGGACATCGAGTTCCACTGGGACTGGAAGGGTCCCACTGCAGAAAAGCCCCACTGCAAATGCAATGAAAACACTTTTTGCATTGAACCTACCGCAATGTAGGAAAAGGTGGTACTGTCGATGTCTGCTGCTGTACACCGGAAGTTTTATTCCTTTAATCCTAATTAAATACACCCAATTTGAATCACCAGCTTAATCCGGGTAAGGATATGATACAAGTGAAACACAGAAAAGCAATCTGCCACGTTCATTCACCAATCTGCGCGTCACGCACAGAAACCGGCGGTTATACTCATAATATTGGGAGCTATTCAATGCATTAATTGGAAAATGTAAACGAGAGGAAAGAACGCTCACTTCAAGGAAGGAATTACATGTGGGAGGAAGCAGATGAGTTTTTAATATACAGTCAAACATGCATTGGTACAAAGTCAGCAAGTTCTAAATGTTGTATTTTCAGTAGTTCCCTCCTCCTCATCCAGAAATCATCATGTATTACCCACCAGCTGCTGCACTCAAAGCCCTCACTGGCTGCCTTGCAGCAGCTGCCAAAATAATCCTATCTGCACGTACGAATTTTGATATCTTTTAGAATAAGCAGGGGTATATTAACACGACCTCCTGTCTCACCGCAGTGTGCAGAGCAGACCCACAGAGCGGTGAGGGAGTTCATGTGCCTAGAAACGAAGACCTGTACCCTCCTCCAGCTAGTATCTCTGCTTTCTACTGGCCAGGGAGGAGTGGAAAGTTGATAGGACCCAACCCTTCCCTTCCCCTCCTTCTCCATCATTAATTTAAACGATTGCCTTTTTCCTCTCCTTTTGCATTTCAAACGTCCCATTTTCCCTACCTATTACTGTATTTTAAGAGCTCTGCCTTTTCAAGTGCTGTGGACTTGAAAGCTCAGGAGGAATTTCTCTCATCAAGCCAAATTGGCAGAGGAATGTTGATTGCTGTTTTTCTTTTTTTACCTTTTTGCCTCCAAGGAAGGCACAGGTAAGAGCAAGACACAGAGATTAATACCAGCAATTTGTAGGAATGTTTAGATCATTGCAGCTTGCAGCTGGTAGCCAGCTGGGATGAAAAGATTATGTCCCAGAGGCAAGAGAGAAAGTCTTTTGTGAACATACCTTATGTCTACTGGAAAAGTTAAAACTTGGTTATTAAAAGAAATAAATATTACCAGCACAAGAAACAGTCAAATGTACACTTTCCAAACCTTTCCAATACCTATTAGCTTCCCATAATCCAAGGTTAGGACTTAAGGTTTTGAGGCTATTAGATGGAGAAGAAGGGAAACGGAGTTTCTAATTTAAATTCTTCTGAAATTCAAAATCAGTGCTCTAGCTGCTGTAGGGATGCTGATGGTGGGGTTCAGTGCTGCGCCACAGGCAGCGGGCTGTGCTGGCAGAATCTCTTCCTGCTAATCCTTTGACATCCATCTCCTTCTGTCTCTCTTGGCTGGTCAAGGAAATATAAAGTATTAATTGATTTCACAGCTACTTTACCACTCTGACCATAAATATTTAAGTTCAGCACATCAATAAATATTCTTCACTAGATAACCACTTTCTGCCTGACAGAAGTGGTCAAACCTGGGATTCTACCAGTTTAACCTCTGCACATTTCTCAAATTGCATAGGATAAGAAAATGAATATTAATTCCAGTGCATTATACACCTAAGTAATAACAGATGCTAATTTCCCAATCATTAAAAAAGGAAAGCATTATTTTACAGTACACCAAAGTGTGCAAGTCCACTTTGCTGAATGCAGCACCATATTCCCCTGCTTTTCTGTCCGGAGATTGCACACGTGAAGCCAGCTGAGATGTCCCTGTATGGTCCTTCCAGCCGTGCTATCTCCGAACTATGTCTGTGGGTAGTTCATGTAGAGGCAGCATGGGCTCCTTCAGACCCCACTATAGTCACAACTTTATTCCCCAAATACTGATGAAAAGAGCTAATTCTCTATGTTTGAGTGCAACACACTCACAGGACTACTCTACTCTAGATACCTTCAACAGTTTAGTTAGGTTTAGCTCATTTATCTCCACTCAACAGGGAATGGTACCGTGCAAATGCATCCTCATTATAATCTATTATGAATTTATAAATTTTAGCCCATGGAAACATGCTGAAATGCTCCTGCAAGCAAAACATGAACCTTACTTTGAAGTTTACCACAGACCTGGTTAGCAATTTGTCAGTCACAACAATGTCTTCAGAAACAAAAGAAAATCAGCCAACTAAATAAAAAATAAAATCTGTTTGTAAGATAATAGAAAGGCTAATTTCCTCCCAGTTACTGAATGTTTTGGTAAAAGGTTTATTTCTTTATATGAAATTTCCAAATAAAGTAAAATAAATCATTCCAACACTGACCCATATTGAGCATTTTGGCACTGACAACATGTTCTTTGGTATTAACTGGCACAAGACTATTGCCACAGAAAGGACACTTTTTAATTTGTAATATTGGCTTCGTTTATGTTTTGACAGGAGAAAATGAAATACTGCTCTGGTTGTTCCGATATCCTGCTGCAAGCAGCAGCAATTTGTGAAAAAACGAGGTTTTATAGTACACAATATTTCACTCTGAAAAGCGTGAATTAGCAACTGGAAAAAAACCCAACTATTTTTCATTCCAATTTCAGAGATGACAAAATTCACCTTAGACACTAATTTACTCGTCCATGTACAAATCTCCCATCTTCCAACAAACATTCAACTACAGCCAGAAATGTTCCAGCCAGAGCTGCCTCTTGCCCAGCACTCAGTGAAAAACTGAGTATCTTGGATCAGGCTACAGCCTCTTGCATTGCATTTGCAGCCAAACAAATCAAGACTCTTGAAAGCTCAGTATGCACAAATACCAGATTTTAATATTCATATATTTGAATCATTTCCAAATCACCACATGTGCTTGTTTTTAATGTTTTATACCTATTGAAATACAAATCATATCCAGACTAAAAATCTTAACTCTAAGCTCACATTTCTCACAGTGCTTTAAAGTAGAACTGTGTTTCTCATGATCAAGTTTTTGTTTTAGACACACTGCAGTTAGGTTCGTGTTTGAACGTGATTTTTGGTGGCTTGAATGCAACCCAGGTATCGCCAAGTCACAGAAAACTCAAGGCAAATTATGGATTTATTATGTCAACTCCGTTCAAGCCCTGATCTTACAGCTTTGTCGAGGCTTTTGATGACTGGAGCTTTCCTGAGATCAAGAGCAGTAACTCATGACACCCATGTACCATTTGTAAGACATGGCCTGGAAAAGACTACAGTAGTTTTGCAGGGAGGTCAGTGAAAAGCTTCAAGGCCTCATGAGTCCCGTCCCAAAAATCAATGAGTGGTTTGTGATTTCCTGAAAATGCCGAACAATCCTTTAAATATATGTATTTTGGCAGCTATGTGAACCCATGGAGAAATACATTAAAGAAGCTATGGTTGCTCCCAGTAAAATGTTTGCTGATCTCATAACAACCTCAGCAACACCCATGAAGTCTCTATGACTTCACAAATTGAAGCACAAAGTTTAGTATAACAACATTGCCAGGCTACAAATTTAAAATCACAAGGTGGTGATCCTGCTTTTTTAGTCTTTTGCTAGTATGAACAAAATCTGAAGCACTGATCTCACAAAAAGTTAGGTTTCCAATCAACTAGTTATTTTTTAAAATAGTGAAGTCTTGTTGATAATGGAGAAGAGGAGGCTCAGAGGAGACCTTATTGCTCTCTACAACTACCTGCAAGGAGGTTGTAGCGAGGTGGATGTCGGTCTCTTCTCCCAAGTAACAAGCGATAGGACGAGAGGAAATGGCCTCAAGTTGCGCCAGGGGAGGTTTAGATTGGATGTAAGGAAAAATTTCTTTACTGGAAGAGTGGTTAAACGTTGGAACAGGCTGGCCAGGGAAGTGGTAAAGTCACCATCCCTGGAGGTATTTAAAAGACGTGTAGATGAGGCGCTTAGGGACATGGTTTAGTGGGCATGGTGGTGTTGGGTTGACGGTTGGACTCGATGATCTTAGAGGTCTTTTCCAACCTTAATGATTCTATGATTCTATGTTGTATTAATTCACAAATTTATTCAATATACCTGCAGAAGTATAAAAGGTACCATCCACAGAGTATCCAGAGTTACAGCTATCAAAGCTTGGTGGTGTGAGATGTGCGTATGGACAATTTTCATTTGAGAGACTAAAAGGTTCTTGAAATGGTAAATATTTACCTCTGGTGCAATGTAGTCTGGAGTGCCACAGAAGGTCCGGGTTGTTACTCCGTCTAACATATGTTCTTTGCACATTCCAAAATCAGCAATTTTAATGTGTCCTTCTGAATCCAACATCACATTATCTAATTTCAGATCTCTGTGAAGAATCACAGGAATTTAATGTTAATGTTTAGGATCAACGAGGGCCAACTTATCTACTTCTAGGTGACGAATATGTGTAGCTATTTGGGGGGCGGAGGGGACAGGGCTGCACATGCACAGCAGTCTACAGTCCAGACGGAGCCGGGCATCTCACTGCAGATACATAAGAATGACCATAAGCCCTGAAAATGGACAATTAATCGAGAGGTAGATGTATATGACCATAAGCACACTCACACTGAGACTTCTGAACGTGTAGAACTATTAAACATCACACAGGACTGCACGAGATCATGTTTTGCATTTTCAAGAGTTTTCAGTTGAGCTGGGCAGAGCACAGACGTCGGAAAAGCTCAAGTAAAGCAATGGCTTTGGTGTACAGTGCACCAGCACCAACACAGCAAAAAGAACACTACAGTGATTGCTTTTTATAAAATGTTTTAAAAAGGCACTGAAACGTTAAAGAAACTGATCCTTTCGGGGTTTTAAAAATAGTTCAGAAATTACTTATGTCAGATTATACTCACCTGTAAATAATCCCTCTGTTATGCAGAAAGAATAACCCAACTGAGATCTCAGCTGCGTAGAACCTGTATGAAAAAAAACCCAACAGATTTCTTATCGCCTCGTGATCTCCTGACAAAATATTTTGGAAATGCATCCTGGTAAAGAATGATAGTATAATAGCATATAAAGTATGTAATATATAGTGTGTATCTATATATTAAAGTATATAAATATATCTTACAGGCAGATGACATAAAAGACACCATACTACAATTTGACTTTAACAAACGCATTTCGAGTATTTGATGATAAAATGATGCAGAATTAAAAAACAAAACAAAACTGAAAATATCTCCCTAGACCACAAAAAAAAAAAAAGGTGCAGCTGGAGCACAGCATTTTACTGCACTGATCTGAATCTGCCTGCAAAGGTCACTATCGCTCATCACATATCAGTGCTGAATTCAGGATGCAGCTCAATTTACACTGCAATTCATATGGCATGAAAGAATTTGCAGAAATATTATTCCTTTAGACAGGCTGTTAATGGATTAATTACATAAAGCTAATTAAAATGATTACCATATAAGATATAATTGCTGAATGCAGTTAAAGGATATATAATATTGATGGATGTTTGAAGCCGGTTGCTGTGGAACTGTGCAAATTATATGCAAGAGGATTATTTAAAGATTAGATTAATTTTTAAGCTAGCATAAGGGAAAGGAAAGCTTAGCTCTGAAACACTTGATCAGAGGTGTTTGTGAACGTGTGTGCTGGAATACGCTCCACAGGCATAAACTGTCATAAAGCACCATAGTTTGCAACGGGTGTTGGCAAGTTACGTTGCATGATCTGACACCATCTAGCTTTTATTTAGCAAGTTGTTGAAATTTTGTTTTATATCTCAAATACTTATATTTAGAAGGCCTCTCATTTAAACAAGCCCTGATTATTTAAATTGGAATGAGAAATTATTTTAGCTGAATTCTTAAAACAGTTGGTCACACTTGATTTTAAAGTTTCATTGGTAAATGATTTATGAAACACTAATAAATGATGATGAGATGTTATAAGCATGACTAAAGTGGTACTGATGGATCTATTCACATTCGAATATGGTAGAGATCATTATCAGTTGCTCACTGATATGCCAGATGTACAATTACCTAAAAGGGATCATTTATATAAACAACTTCTAATCGCTTATTAACTCCTCACAAATAAAACTTCTATAAAAAAGTAGGACCATAGAAATTCTTAAGGCATACATTGAATTTATCTTGTGTAAACTATAATTTATATTGCAATGCTGAGTCTATTTGTATTGCCTTTCCCTATAACATTAATTCAGTTCTACTTTTTTTTATATTCGCTTTTAAAAACACCACCAGAATACCAAGTACCATCTTTAATTTCCTCTTGCCTTGCTTAAATTCTTGTCGCTTTTAAAGTAGCATTGCACGCCTTTGTTTGTGCTGTATTTTTGAATAAAAAGGCATAGCCACCTTTGGTCTATGTGTGCAAACAACATTTTTAACACAACCTTCAGCTTTTGGGACTTAAAAAACACAATCAAAAAAGGCCAGCCTAGACTTCATACTGAACCTGGGAAGAACAAGAAACCTAATCCTCTTACAGTGTAAAATTAAGATGATGACATGATTTAAATATATAAACATGAACACTCACACTGCTTGCGGCTCCTTAAATTTTCCTACTTGCTGAATGTGATACATGAGATCACCACCATTCACATACTCCATAACAAAATACAGACGGTCCTAGGATAAAGTATTAAAGATGCACATAAATACATTAGGGAAAATATTAGATACGCATTGATCAGCAAAAAAGTCACTAATATGTTATTATAAAGCTTTTAAGATTATTAGGACTGGTTGTACATTCTGGAAAAATTGACAGATCAGGAAATGGAAGTGGAATGTTTTGTAAAACCTGCAAGAGTAAATGACTGATGAGATCTGTCTAGATTTGCCAATTTTAGTGACGCACTATATTATTTGTCTACAATGGTTCCCATAATTATCCACATATAGTTCTGTCTGAAAAATCTGTCTCTCTAAAAATAAATGTAAAAAAAAAAAAAATTAAAGATGGTTGAAAATTCTTGCTTTGAGGCCATTTCTAATCCTTCCTAATAAGTTTTCCTTTGGAAGATGGGAGGTATTAAAAAATAGATTTTTTTTATTATTAAAGAGGCAAGAAGAAAAGTAATGGTAGGGTTTACAAAAGTATCTGGAACCCTTACAAGTGACACTAAATCAATTTCTCGTAGGCACATATTTCACCTAGAGGAAGATGGCAATAAGGTATTTTGGAGGGAGATTTTTCTTGCACAGTGAGGACTTTTAAAGGCCACATCCAGGTATCTCAAATCAAACATGACCATAACATATTTGAGTGCACTTAAGTCGTAATTTCCAACCCACCTTCAGACAATAAGACTTAAAACAGTAGGTCTGTCCCCCAGTTTTCAGAGGACTAAAACTGAGCTCTTCCAAGTGACCTCAGTAAGAATACATTGTTTACACTCTACAAACATCTTTGATTTAGGGTGGATGATTTTGACCACCTAACACTAAAAATTCTGGTGGACAACATTACGGCAAGCTTACTATCTGCAGTTATAACATGATCCAGACAGCATATAAGATGCATTAATAATCTTCCTCCCAGTTACGGGAAACATATTTTTGGCTTCCTCTGATTTTCCTTTAGATATTTTGGACAGAATCATTATCCTCAAGTATTTGTAGAAAAGTTCTGATCCAACAGTCTGATGGGAAAGAGACTCATTACTAAGATGCTCTAGTTCAATCTCTTTCCTTCGGCATCGATTGAAAGTCTCCAATCATCTAGTAACTAAGATTTCAGAATATTAACATACATTTAAAAACTGTGATTTCCTAAGCTGGGTCCAACAGATAAGCCACGGGTAAAATGTTTAATTGGCCAGATCGGATTAATAAAATTTAGGTTTTTGTATGAATTGTCTTATTGTAAAATCCATGGCAATAAAAGCCTGCATCTAAAAGCACTAACCCCAAATTATCAATTTTTCCTATGGTCACACAGTTTATGCCTTTTCTTCTCCTTCATATACAATTTCTCATTTTTGTAGCTAATATTAATCCTCCAGAATATTTCATAGCATCAAGTGCAAACTACTCAACACTTTGGAAAACATGAAGTAAATTAGGCAAAGGTGTTAATGATTTATCTAGGCCTTTAATGTAGCTCCACTGCTCTTGTACATGATAAAACAGAAAAATTACACTGTAAATACTAAACACCCCAACTTTTTTCCTCCATTCCCCTTAGCCAGAGAACACTAGACATTTGTACTTTTAAGATTTTACATTTAAAATGTAGCTGCTCAGAAAAAAGATAAGATTAAACAAAGTGGTTTTTCATTTACTGATGGCACTAAGTTTTTTGGTTACTAATGAAGTTATATAAAGATAAAGAATTAGAGGGAGATAGAAGTCTATTTCTCACTAGGACCTCTCTTATCTTATTACAACAATCTTCATATTATAAGTAGAGGCAGGAAAAATATTTTAGAAAGCAAGAATTACCAAGTACAATAGTTCCCAGATTCACATTTTATTGTGATTAATTATGTCTGCAAATCTGTTGCATTCAGGCCATTTTCTGCTCAGAGATTTGTAGACATTAAACAGAGTTTGAAAATGCCTCTAACACCACAAACAATTATGCTATGAAATGGTGACGGGATGACGTGGCTTGTTTGTGGAATATTACAATGTTATTACTTCCAACTAACTGCCTGTTGTTTGTTCGTTTGCTTTTAGATTAAAAACCATCAACAATGTCAGAGGTAAAAGACATGGAATAGTCAAGTGGAAAAACAACAACGTATGTCCTTTCATCACCCCATTAAGATACAACCCACCCCTGGGGCCATTGTCATAAGATGCCTACGAGGTGAGACAGGAGCTGCCTTGATTTCTTGTGAATAAAGACCTCTGCCCAGCTTGGAACATTTGGGGCCAGTTCACTAGCGTCAGAGTGTACCCATGCCCACTCCGAAAACCAAAAGCACACTGAGCGCCAACTGCCTACCACGCGGCTTTCCATGTCATCCAACAGAACGGTATGGTGCCGCTGGATTGTCAGATCCACCCCGCAGTCTCTCCCTGGGAAATGTTTTGCAATGTAATGGGGAAATGTCCACTTCACATATTTATAAGGAAGGAAGAAAAAAAGCCCCAATGCTTTCCTCTGTGCCAGGGGTGCCAGAAAACTAAATTAAATCCATCAACATTGATTCATGACTAATCACCTCACGATATAACAACAGCCATTAAGACTTTTCAAGTACTATCCTCAGATCCTTAAAAGTATTTAGGAACCTTTGGGAATCTGGGCTTAAGGCTCTGACTTAGCAAAGCACACATTATTAAATTTATGAATTGTCAGACTGGTCTGCTTAAATTACTGTATGAAGAAAAATCTTTAAACCTAGGTTTTATATTTAAAATACAAGGGGTAATTACATGCAGTATCTCTTTCTTCACCATTTTATATGCGCAGAAACTATGATATATAGGTCAGATGACAATAAATGTTATTGAACTGATAAAATCCATGATCATATAGTATGGAAAACATCAGGGTGGCAAGAAAGACAAAGTTCACGTACAACTGTTTGGAAACAAGAGTGAAGCTGTGTCAGGAACGGTGGTTTATCTTGCAATGCCAGGACTCGTTTTTCAACCATTGTACATTCGACGTCATCATCCTGAATCACCACATCTTTTTTCAGTATTTTGATTGCATAGAGCTCCTCTGTCCCCTTCCTGTCTGCCAGCATCACCTGCACAAAGAGAAACAACAGGGTAAATCTTCCTACCTGCCAAGGAGGGAAGGTGACTCATACGCCTGAAGATTTGTGCAGATGGCAATCCAGCTTTTCCTTTTATTGGTATAGACTAACTGGATCAAAACACCAAAAATATCATCATTACTCACCCACTGCAATGAGCTGTACCAGTCATTTCAGACAAAGCCTGTGCCAAAACCCTCTGGTTAATCGCAGGCACATTGCCAACGGGCTGATAAAATGTTAAGTCCCAGGGGACTTCTTCAGTAAAGGGCACTTTATCATGTAAGTGGTTGTTCAAACAGACAGAAAAATAGCAGTCCTTTCTTTCGACTAACATATTTCAAATATATATACACTATTCCTGTTTTTTCCGCAATATTCAGCCTTACCAATGTTGGTGACTGCCAGAACTGGCAGAGTGACCTAGATAGTAAAGCTAGAAAAGTAGACTTAATTTCCTTGAAACTGCCAAGAAGCGAGGATCTAAAAGTCAGCAACTGCTTCTTACACCCTGCCCAACAGTCTGAGGTTTTTTTTTTTTTATTTTTTCAAGAAAACTGCCAATTGTGACTGAAGCCCACTAGTCCTTAGGGAATCACCCTACTGCATGTTAAGAAATCTTCCCTCAAAAATGCACATCCTTTTGACTCTGGATTTTGCTTCTTAGAGAATTATTCATTCATTCTTCCTCAAGAAAAAAAAAAAAAAAGAATGCGAGTGGAATAGGTATCAAAAATTCCTACCTTCCCAAAGCTCCCCTTTCCAAGAACCATGAGAAAGTTGAAATCTGTCAGCTTCACCCTGTCCAGATTGTTGGATGGCACACTTGAGTTCTTGTCTTCTGTTGGAGTAATGACTTTGTTACCAGCTGGCCCAAGTTTGGCTTTCTGAAGAACATACACACACATACACACACAAAAACAGGGAAGTAAGAAGAGTAGCCCATTTTCTTGGCAGAATGGATCACTGGGTGAAGGTTAGAATTGGAGATGACCATATCTGAGGTGGCATTCCCAGGAGAAAGGCTGCATAACAAAATTTGCACAGACACAACTTCGAAGACTCATTCCAACAATACTTTTGACGTTGTTGAGTGAATTAAAGTGGAAAACTGTGTTCATGTATAACCAGATAAAAGCAGGTATACTTATCTGGTTAGAAGAGCAAAACCAAAGCAAAAACCAAAGCCAAAGAAAAAAAATCACTTATTTTCATGCCAAAAGCAGGCTTATCTGGTGGTTTTGTTTTGAAATACAAAAAATGCTTTTCAAAAATATCATGCTGTATCTACATAGGGTATTTTAGGATATAAACAGTCTCTTCGATACATTCTCTTTTAAAATGTAATTCTTAAAGTCACTGCATAGCAAGAGTTAGGAAATCTTTGACATGCATTAAGAAAAATAACCTACATGAAAAAAACCCCACAACACATGAGAATTAATGCAGATGAAGATGGCCACTTTCAAACTAGCAATACAATCAACTTTGATTTTCAATCAAGTGTTGATCTGGAATAGGGAGGAAGGGAAATATTATATACAAAGGCTCTGCCTTGGCAAGACAGGCTGGTTTGCAGAAGGTTGCAACAGTCTCAGTATTTCATATGAGACACCATGTAATTGCTCAAGTAAGTTGCATTTCAAATCTCAAAGCTGATAGAAGAGAAAAAAGTAAGACTCACCAAAAGATAATGCAGGCTACAGCATAATATCCCTCTCTTTCTCAAAATAATCCCATATACCAGCAGAAGCAAAGCCAAGAAGGTTTAATAATACTTCGGGATATAAGTGCTTTCCCTCCATCTAGCTAGTGTGTTGATCTGGTAAATAACCTCCAACACAGTTAATTTACTTTGTGCCATTGACAGATGCTTGACACTTAAGGATAACTACTTTTCTCACTGCACCGCAAAAGGACGGTATTTGCATCTTATCACTGTTTTACAGATAAAGAAAATTAGAGAAATTAAGGTTTATTCAAAGTCACACAACAAATCACCTTAAAAGCCTGGCCTGGCATATACGCTTGGCAGCCTCACTGGAAACTGGAAGATACAAACTCTCCCCTCCCCAGACAAATTTAAAACCAGAAGATTCAAGCGACTCAATTCATAGACTCCAGCCCTGTACTACTGCAGGCAGTAATGTCAAGTATTCCTCTGATAAAATAACCACACGTCGCTTGAAAAGCGTATTCAGATTGGATGACTCTTCCTGAAACTTTATAAATGCAGAAAGTCTTAAACTGTGCCACAGGGATATGAATTTTGGCAGTTTTGATCTTTTATTTTTTTTTTTTAATTGTAATACAGCTCAAAACGTGGCATTTCTTCCACCACTATTATTACTTGCTTGCATGAAAGCAGCACTTGGAGATGCTGATCAGGATCATGTGCTGTGCAAATGTTTAGGAAGAGCCAGTCCTGGGCATCAGCCTAAGTCCCTGATTCTGCAAGGGATAGCGCCTCGGCAGATCCGGCTGCTGGGACAAAGCCAGTGGCTGCAATGGAGCTCTTTGTCAGGACAAAGCTCCTTTCAAGGCCACAATACAAGACTGAGCCACAAACAGAACAAGTGAAAAAAGAAAAATCCTAATATGCTTTATTTGTAAAGCTGAAGACATGGTTTAAAGGATCAGCTTTCCTGGCCATGTCTGTGATGCTCTCACATATGGGATCTCAGATAAAAGATCCTGCTCGTGATACAAGAAACAATTTCAATATCCGCCTTTTCACCAAGTAAGGGAGATCCAAATCAGGCACTGAATGAAAAAACCACTAGTTTTGTTTCTTATATTTTAAACGCACTGGGTACTTTGTCGGCAGCCTGTTTGAAAAATGTATCATTTGAAACAACAAATCAAATTTTGTTCCAAGGCAGTTTATTTCTTCGGGTACAAACCTGCCGCTCAGGCAGGGACTGCTTTCTGCAGTGCTGCGATCCCAGGCTCAGGGGGTGAACAGCACTTTTTTCAAAAGAAAGAGAGTGGCAGATTCATCAGCAGGCTCCCGTGCCCTCTGCCGGCTCCCAGAGCTGAAAGCACCGCGCTTCCTCGGATCAAACCCCTGCGAGATGAAATTGTCAGGATCTGAAGGCGGCACCTTAAAATAGTATGAGAGAACCCAGCCAAGGCCTCTCTGCACCCTCGCAAGAAAACGCTTACATTCAATGAGCTACAGACATGCTCCTCTACTTCCATTTATCATCTTTTTAAAATTAGATGTCGCTCTCAATTTGGTAATTTCTTTTTTCATACGGTAGATTTTTAAGGAGAACACCAGGTGCCTCCTGTTCGCTCAGGTGGGTTTCTTGTGCCATCTGCTCCAGGTGGATGGCTAACGTGGGCAGGAGCTTATCGGACTGTACCTCAGCTGTGAGCGATCCGTGCTGACGGGAAGGTGACAATCCTGGTTGTCTCATCACTAGTGCTGAGCAATCTCGGTGCATTAGCCCTGACACTGGTACGGGTGAGAGAGAACCCTGTTGCGAACCGTATGTAAGAAAACGTAGGAAAATGGCATCCACGAAATGCTCGAGAACGACCAGGCTGACTCAATGCAAGCACACGGACCCAAGTGGAATGGCCTAATGACCTTATTAAATTATCATAACCTTATCAAAGGTCCCTATTTCCCTTCAGCTGGGCACTGACCATTTGTTCACGAGCATGACGAAAAAAGTTTTTCACATTTAGCCTGTGAACTCCTTTTACTGCTTTTTGGCTTAAGGTCCTAGTGAAAATATAGTGGAAAATTCAAAGCTGGCAAATATGTACTGGGAGGGGAAAAAAAAAAGGAAACAATAATAATCCAAACCAAAACATTTCACAGATGATCCATTAAGAGCTTCCCAAAGTACTACTGCAACATTTCAATCATGACTTTGCCTCAGGCATATAATTTTGTTGTTGTCTTAGTACTATTTAAAAAAATTTCCAGAGCTACTAAAGCAAAATTAGGCTATGGGCATGGAAATAAAATTAGATAAACATGGTCAAGCCATTACAGATGCTACCTGTGCCACCAAGTTTTTGACAGGACAGTAAGACATCTTTATGAAATAAACCCTGAAAGATCTAGTACTTATTACCTGTCTTGGAGAGTTAGCTGCTGTGTATATTCCATGTTATTCCATTCATCCTGAAGTACAAACCTAAACCAAAACATCTCTTATAAGCTTCATGGAAGTTTCTGCACTCAGCAGAAACGTCACAACTCATCGCTAATAATTGATGTTGATGGATTTAAGGAAAGTCTTTAACCTTGCCCTTTTATTGCAGAACTTAACCCAGAATATGGGGCAAGACAAAAGTATTTCAGAAACTCGGCTAATGATTTCTGGTTATGACTAAAGGATTAGGAAAATGTCTTCAAATATCAAAATTGCTTTATGTTAAACTACAGAAAATCTACGAAGTGAGTGAATGTCGTGCCTTATGGCAAGCAATGGGTGAAGATACAGGGAAACAATCATTTGCTTACAAGATTTAGTAAAGATTTGGAGAAAACACATCTGAAATGTGCTGGGCTAGTGTGCACGTGGAGGAGACCTCATCCACCCATGTGCTGTGGTCATTTCCGCAGGGTTTCTGGCATCTGAGCGGGCCTTCATCTCACCCTCTGGTTGAATATTTAGTTGGCTGTGCCCACTGGAGTTAATGACGTTATATACAATGCCATGACTTGCAAACTCTCTTCACACACAGCGATGTTAATTTCTTATTATGACCCATATGGGAAATAACTTGCTGAACAGACATTTTGCTACAAAACCACTTGTCCTCAGCTTTTTGAATACCTCAACATGTGGGACATTGTTTTTTCACATAAAGAACAATTTATATATTTCAGATACTTCAGATAGGGAACTACAAACTAAAATGACAGTTAAAACACAGTCAAGGAGGGGACCACAATAAAAATAAAAATACTAGGGAAAACATTACATTACTGATGCATTTTAATTTGCAGAAATGAAATGTAAAACCACACACCATTACTTTCACCGTCACCTCTGCATCCAGGATCGCCCATGATGAATAGCTTTACTGTTTATTAGAAGGGAAGAGAATCTGTTTGAGGCTTATGCTCTGTTAAGGCCAACTTAAGCACTAAAAATAGGACAGATATTGGATAGAAGTGACTTCCAGAGCTCTTGGGAATGCTGTTTCAACAACGGGACTAACCACAGAGGAATAAAGAGACCCAGGACTCTCTTGGATAGCTAAACCGTGTGTAAGGAAAGCAATTTGTGATGCAGAGCATTACACACACAAAACTGAAGAGCAGGGCATTGGACTTGAGACACACACACACACAGATCAAGGCACCCAGATGTGATACCACAGACAGATGTCTTCTTCCCTAAAGCCGACACTGTTAAATGGTGTCCAGATCTTTCTGGATCTTGCACAGACCCATCATTTTTCTCTTCAAGCTCTGGCCTTATAAATAGCCCAAGAAATGTATTTTCTCAGGTGTTTAAACAAACTCAGGTTTCTTGCAGAGGAGCAGGTTTTCTTACAGTTGGATATGGCTAGAAAAAAGGAACAATATGGAAAACACCTGGACCAGACAGAGAGGTAGATCTGAAAGGAGGAAAAGCTAACCAGAATCACAGCCTACTGGTTGTCTTGTAGGAAAGCATATTTCATAAAAAGCACTTCTAATAGATTTACTTAAAATGTTCCGTATGTACCTACTCATCCTTACAGCATTACATATATCACAATTCAAACCATTTTACTGATTTTATACATTTTTTTTTATTAGGTTTTTTACACTAGCAGGGATGCCTTAGCTTGCTTAAAATTGTCCACAAACTCTCTTACAATGAAGAACTACTTTTATTCAGGTTAGTCTAATGTAGAGTCCAATGAGTGGTAATACTTATAAATCTTCTTTTACCAGTTGTAGAGGCAGAGCACAAAAATGGGTATTCCAACTTCTGTATCCACAGCCAGTGTATGTTAGTGAATTCTCATAAGGTCAAGAACAGGAAACGTTTTAATGTGCTCTCACCGAGCTCTACCGTGAGTTTTATATCTGATATGCCTTGAATATTGCAGAGAAAACGTCATGCAACCAACATACTCTTCCAGATTCCCAGAGCAAAAACAGTTTTGCAACTACAGAAGGGACATAAATTCAAATGATTCATAAGAGTTTACTGAAAAAGAGCAACAATATTTTGCCTCTTCCTACCATGACTACAGTTGAAAATAGCAGAATCCTATTTGAATCCACCTTTATTCTTTATGGACGTTAAAACTTGCTGAAGTTGAAGACGGCATTCCAGGCACTGGATTCATTTTCAATTTACATTCAGACTGCTTGGCTTAATATCTTTGATAAAAACACAATATTGTTACAACGAAGCCAGCTTGCAGCAAACAAACCAGGAAAACAGTATGTTAAAGATAAATTAGTCTGCACTGGTAGCAGAAGAGTTAATCTTAAAAGAAAACAAGACATGCACATCATCTTACTTGCTCTGGTTTGGACGCACCTTATCTCGGCCAGTTCTTTTACCCTGAAACCACAGGTGAGACATACTTTATACATTCAGCCCAAATGCACTTCTTATGGAGTGTTACAGAAGTTGCAGTGTGTTATATTGGAGAGTCTCCTGGAATTTGGTATGTGCTTTCTGGAAAAAAATATCTCAGGTTTTGCAGTAAAAATGCTTTCAATTTATTTTTAATCTAAGGGTAACAATTGTTCTTTTAATTAGATATGGAGGGAAAAAAAAAGTCTTCTCCAAAACCTAATGAGAAGTATGATGCAAAGAAGAAAAAGAAGTGATTTAGGGAATAGCAATCCATCATTGCACTCAATTTTCAACCACAGTAAATGTTTTCATTGAGTCTTTTCAAAACTTTCTGATTTTTTTACTGTGAAGACAATCTAATAGGACAAAACAATAAATCTGAACATTGGCATTTCTGCTTTCTAGTTATTAACTATAGTTCAGAAACTTGAGAATTACAGAGCAAAAAGACTGAATTGGTCATTTTTCCCATTAGCCAATAAACAAACAAAATTTGTGAAGAATTTTTAAGAAAATATCTACACAATTTACATTCCTACCCTCAATCTCTTTAGGGCAATGAGCTACGTATCATTATGTTGGTGCTTTAACACCTTGTATGGCTCGCCTTCATTAATTCTCTTCTGCTGCTGTTTGCAGCATTCAGCTCAGTAAGATTGGGTGTGTTCCCATATGGAAAATGAACACCGGGTTCCAAAACTGCCCAAACTTGCCGCCCCACCCTGCCACCCTCCAAGCACAGCTTCAGAAGGGAGAAACCAACATCATTTCCCATGAAAAAATATTCAAGCCAATAAATGGCTTTGCGACGTGCAGTTCACTAGAGGATGTATTCCTCGGTTGTCAAGGCAACTCGCTCTTAGCAAGTTCACAGATGCCCAGCGGGGAGATCTATTGGTAACAAATTTTCAAGAGGAGAAAGTGATAAATGAAAAAATATGTAACAGCAACGCTGAATTCCCATCACATGTGCGGAGGTATATACACATACAGCACACGTAACTTCTGTTTGGAAACAGCACGCTTATCGCCACATTTCCTCTGTTACTTATTGGCTCCACTGACACCTACCGGGAAGAGAAATTGAGAGCTTCGTTCCCGGCAGCGGAGCCTCCTCCAGACTCACAGCTCTGCTTCACATTACACACCAGCATCCTCTCCCCTCCTCTATAGCAGATTCCACCTACCACCGACCGCTTTGCCCATGCAGTAACATTCAGCCGTAAATAGCAAATGAAGGATGTGACAACAGAGAGCAGCACTGGCTTCAGTCTCCATTGCAAAATAATCACAATTTTGACAGTATGAGGGTCAGCAGTCTAAGGACTGACCGAGCAGGCTTGCTGCAGGCTTTATCTTGGGTCTCAAGACTTACTTGAGATCCGTGGAGCAGGAACGTCTGCTTGCCAGGATGCAATTCCTCTGCGAAACTCTAACAGAATCTCTGCTTCTCACATTGCCACAAGTTTTCACCAGTTCTTTCCTAGACCCCAACATGCTCTACAAACGTCACCGGGTGATGGAACAAGCCATCTCATGCTAGCCTCCCTTGCTCCCAACGTTTCTGTTCCTAATTCTGAAGTTAACCCAAAGGCATAGCAGAGCTGCAGGTAACACTCTGCATCACTTAAAGAAATGGCAAAATAGGTGGTGAGAAGGGAGGGAAGGAACAGTCTTAATAACAATGTTCCAGTTTCACTATTAGAGCCCAGGAGGCTTTGGCTGCAAGTGTGAAATTAATGGTCAGTTACGTCTGTCGCTACCTGGACTCTACACAACAAGCATCAGAGCAGCTCAGATCTCAGACAAACCGTAGAAGATGTCACTGGCAGAGCTGGCAAAACTCATACTAAGGACGTAAAAAGGAGAAACCAAAGTAATTTATCCGAGTCTCAAGGAAGGACAAAAAGCCCTACTCAGGTTTCCAGTCATGAAAGCTCAGTGGGCATTTTGATCAACAGGTTGAGCCATTCGTAAGCCTTTAATAAAGTAAATAAATCCAATAAATTTCAAGTCAAAATCTGGAGGGAAAAAACCTCCCAGCCGCTGAAATGTTCTCCATCATTGTGGCAGCTTGTTTCTTACATTATTGCATTTCCAATTCCATGTAATTATAGATGCTATGAAGGACTATCAATTTCCTAGTTTATACAACTTAATTATCAGGATGCTGAGAATTTGAAATAAGAAGAGTCCATTCCTAAGCCCCAGCAAGACCTAATGCTTCACCAGACTGAGTTTTAAGCTTAATATCATAACCTAATGCAAGCTTGTAATTCATTAGCGGAGAGTTTTGTAGTCATGGAAACAACACAGAAAAGAGAAAGTTAGAGCCTAAGCTCCTGATGATTTAGCAGCCCAGCACCTCTAACCGGAGAGGGGATGGCACGAGCGTTACATCTTGGTCCAGCCTGAGCTCATGTCTTTGCTGTTGCAAGTCAACAGAGGGAAGGAACTTCCTTGACCATTTTACCTGCCTCTCTACAAAAGATGTGCTGAGCAATCTGGGGAGATGCTTTTGCATTAAATTTCCTGTGAAACAGAACAAAAGACACAGTCTCTGGCTCTTGCGCTTCTTTCCTTGGCTTAACAAATGCTTATGAAGAAGGTGGCAACACACGGCTTTTTCCCATCTTACTGTGCGTTCTCCCTGTTCCTTCCAAGAAGAAATAACTAATGCACTAAATTATGAAATGTATTGCACTAACGAATGCATACGCACATATTTACACATATAGAAAGGAGCACGCTTGGATTAGGCTGCAGCAGACTGAAGATGCCTACGCGAGACACTGCAATACAGCCAGACACACCCGTACCAGGGAGATGCACCACACCATGGACACGGTCAAGGATTCACGAGGTTTACACAGCTCGTTTTTCAGCCACGTATTCCTTGGTGAAATTGCATTCTCGCAAAAAAACTTCTTTGCAGCAAGGAGAACACTGCAAATACGCAAATAAGCAGAAAGTTGCACTCATATTTATTTTCATGGTGGCGATGTCACTATGGTGAACTATGATGTAATTAGTAAAAAATGCAAGATATAAAAATGAAGTAAAATGCATTTTTACTAAATGCATTTAGCTAAAATAGTTATTGAAAAAATAGTTAGAAAAAAATTCTTTATCATTCCCATTGCTAGTAAAAAGGCACAAAGGCAAACAGGATGTTTCATAAAAATATAAATGGAGAGCGTGATAAAACTCTACCTGGGAGTTAAATATGGACTATTTTATGTCTTTAGTTTACTTTTCCTTTCATTTCCTCTCCTCCTCCCCTTAAACTTGTGTCATATTTACCCTTTTGGTTAGTAATAGTAAATTTATTTAAAGGATTTGCCTCAAAAAAAAATTGTGCCATATGTGAAAAGGATTAAAAATGCCTTTTTGCAGAAAGCATGTCCAAGAACACAGGAAACCCACTCCTGAAGCCCACCCACATGCTGTACTGCTCTGCTCATCACGTAGGAACGATGATATCAGAGTGTACATGAATTAATCTGTGTTACAAATAACAGAAGAGAAAGCAGCGCGTCCCACAGAGAATTCTGGATGATTAGTAAAACTGAGTTATTTTGTCTAATCCTAGCACGAGCTGTGCGTTTGGAACCCATGCCTCTTCTAACGCCTTGCAGGTTCACAAAATTCCTGAGATACTTTTACTTAGTGACTCAGAGATTTCCGCGGAGGTCCGTTTCTCTCACCTAGCATATAAAGTCGAGCACGACGGAGGCAGATAATTACAGAAGTCATGAGGCACCCGAAGGTAGAGATGAACTGAGCAATATAAAGGTGAGCAGAGGCAGTACTCGCTTTTACAGCCGCAAATTATGAAATGTTTTGATTAGAGGAAAAATCACCATCAGTGCCAGTTAAAAGTCTTGAATAAAGGGCTGTAGGAAAAATGTTATACTGAATTTTATCAAAACAGCAGTTTAATTTAACGGCTTTGTATCTTTCTAAATACATACATACAAACAATTTGCATTATTTCATTTCATTCAGGACTTTTGCTAGAGACAGCTTTTCGCTTTGGGACCTATTCTGTGTTCTTTACTGACCCCTCGTGGTTTCTAACTCCGAGGAGAAATTATTTTCTCAAGCTCAACATTACGTTAAACGGATGTTTACTTAGGACAAAGGCAATAAGAGAATCCTAAAGGACAATTCAACAGTTCAATATACCATACAGCATCTCAACAGAGCTGCTTATTTTGGGGGGTTTATAATCACATTCCCTACCCAATTTTTTTTTTTTTCTTTTCTTTTACTTTTTTTTGTGTTGCTGTATAGAAGTTAAAACTGTATGAACTACTTGAATACACGGTTTCTAAAAAATTCCCCAATTTGTCAGGCACAAGATTAAGGTAACCATATCCCCTAGAAAATGTAGACAACGAAGTCAAGTGACTATGAAAGATAGTCATTTGAAAAGGGATACATCTATCCCAAGAATAGGAGTTTCAGGGAATATCGCCCTGGACAACGGATGTCTGGCTGTGAGCAGTGAAATCTAGAGAGGGAAGAGTTTCCAGTTACCCATTTGGCACTGTCAACATGTTTAATCTGTTTAATAATCCTGTGGCCACCTGAGCCTACTTTGTTTTCTGCCTTTATTGCCAAACACACTATCCCCTGCAACAGAGCAGTGTCTAACTAGATGAAATGTAATTATAGAGGCTGCCTAGGAATAACATCCAAGAATTCTTGCAGAAATATCCTGTGACAGTGGTAATAAAAAATCCAGACAACAAATCTGATGCTAGAAGAGCAAACCCCTAAGTGCCAAAAAAAGAATTGCTTTTATATATGCTCCTTCATTTTTTAATTATGCAAATTACTGCTAATTTTCAATAATTAAAAAAACCTAGAGTGTAGAATTTGCTTTTAAGCATAAAAATCATTACAATATGGACAAAAAATAATAAAATTCTGTTCTAAAATAATCTTTAAAGACTTCAGTTCTACCTGATCTTACC